TGGAATGCTCTACTTGTACTGTTTTGACTGGGACAGAACTGTGTTTTTAAAATGCACAATGATTCCCAGGGAATGTAGCGATTTGTACTGCTCTTTGTGGAATGTACCACCCTGCCCTGCTGCTCCGATTAGCACAGAGTTAGGTCATTTGTTTCAATCTTGGCAGTCCCAGCCCTTTAATATCATTGCTCTCTGTTTCTCTCCACCAGGGAAATAGTGTCACAGGAGAAAACTGTCACTAAGAGCCAGGCAATGAAGCAACCTCTGGGTCATGTAAGTATGAGCTGCCTTTCCTAGCATAGTTTTTGGCTGATCTGAGTTCTTAAGTGGTACAATGGTAAATCTAATTGCAGGGTGGACTGAGGAAAGAAGGAGTGCTGATGTGAGATCTGAAGGGGAGCTGATATGGTCTGATAAGGGAAATAATCTGAGGTCTGAAGGGATAATTTGTGGAAAGGGTGGGGGGCTGATCTAAAGCCTGCAGCTATAACGCTAACCCCTGCAATCTATATGCTATGTCATATGTCCTGATTGCTGTACTGTGTAAGCTGTGATATACATTACATACTCCTGGCCAAAATGTTTATTGTCTCTACAAATGGGTTGTGGTTCAGCAAGGTGCTTATTACAGGTACTTATATAGCACTGTCAATTTACGCAGCGCTTAAGACACACACACACACATATATATATATATATATATACTGTATACAGTTCTCAGCAGAAATAAGTACACCTCAACAGATTTGTCCGTAAACCCTTAGGCCGGCCATGCATGGATTGAAATTCTACCGATTTTTCATCCGAAAATCGGACCTAAGAATAATCGGCCGATTTTTGCTCTGTTAGTGGGTCAATGGCACTGGACGATTTTTGTGGTTCCTCCCCTTTTTGGTGATCGGGCATGTTGCAACATTTGTGAAAAACGACTGATTTTCGACTCAATGATGGTCAAATCATATGATAATTTTTCCAAAAAGAATATGCGCATGAGCCGTGACCTGGAAGGAACAGAAGTTTCACCTATTATATGGGGTGAACTTTATGACTTGGTTGGCCAATTTTCGAAATCATTGATGGCACCATGAGATTACCGAGAAAACAACGTTTTCATTTCATTGTCCATTTTCAGACAAAACCATCCTTCGGAATTCGAACCATGTATGGCCTGCATTACTTTCCTTTCAAAATCAACATTTTCTATGGAACACTATACTACAAGATACACAGGACAGACTAAAACATTTAATGTGAAAATGGCTTAATGTATCTTAACATGTAATACACTGCCTAAATCTCAATCAATTGACTTGAATCACAAGTGTAATAAAAGCGCCACACCCTTAATACTTTAAAGCAGCAATTCCACCTCAAAGAAACCAAATACATTTCTTAGTGCTATAACTTAAATAAAGGAATGTGCTAAAACCACAAACTTTTCCTAATTTAGTGTAGAAACATTAGTGCAAAAGATATATATATACAGTGGGGATCGAAAGTCTGGGCACCCCAGCTAAAAATTTGTATTAATGTGCATAAAAAGCCAAGGAAAGATGGAAAAATCTCCAAAAGGCATCAAATTACAGATTAGACATTCTTATAATATGTCAACAAAAGTTGGATTTTATTTCCATCATTTACATTTTCAAAATAACAGAAAACAAAAAAATGGCGTCTGCAAAAGTTTGGGCACCCTGCATAATTTATAGCATGCACTGCCCCCTTTGCAAAGCTGAGACCTGCCAGTGTCATGGATTGTTCTCAATCATCGTCTGGGAAGACCAGGTGATGTCAATCTCAAAGGTTTTAAATGCTCAGACTCATCTGACCTTGCCCCAACAATCAGCACCATGGGTTCTTCCAAGCAGTTGTCTAGAAAACTGAAACTGAAAATAGTTGATGCTCACAAAGCTGGAGAAGGCTATAAGAAGATAGCAAAGTGTTTACAGATGTCAATATCCTCTGTTCGGAATGTAATTAAGAAATGGCAGTCATCAGGAACAGTGGAAGTTAAAGCAAGATCTGGAAGACCAAGAAAAATATCAGACAGAACAGCTCGCAGGATTGTGAGAAAAACAATTCAAAACCCACGTTGGACTGCACGATCCCTCCAGAAAGATCTGGCAGACACTGGAGTTGTGGTACACTATTCCACTATAAAGAGATACTTGTACAAATATGGTCTTCATGGAAGAGTCATCAGAAGAAAACCTCTTCTACGTCCTCACCACAAAAATCATCGTTTGAACTTTGCAAATGAACATATAGAGAAGCCTGATGCATTTTGGAAACAAGTTCTGTGGACCGATGAGGTTAAAATTGAACTTTTTGGCCGGAATGAGCAAAGGTACGTTTGGAGAAGAAGGGATACAGAATTTAATGAAAAGAACCTCTGTCCAACTGTTAAGCATGGGGTTGGATCAATCATGCTTTGGGGTTGTGTTGCAGCCAGTGGCACAGGGAACATCTCACGAGTAGAAGGAAAAATGGATTCAATAAAATTTCAGCAAATTTTGGATGGTAACTTGATGCCATCTGTGAAAAAGCTGAAGTTAAAGAGAGGATGGCTTCTACAAATGGATAATGATCCTAAACACACCTCGAAATCCACGGGGGATTACATCAAGAGGCGTAAACTGAAGGTTTTGCCATGGCCTTCACAATCTCCTGACCTCAACATAATTGAAAATCTATGGATAGACCTTAAAAGAGCAGTGCGTGACAGACAGCCCAGAAATCTCAAAGAACTGGAAGACTTTTGTAAGGAAGAATGGGCAAAGATACCTCAAACAAGAATTGAAAGACTCTTGGCTGGCTACAAAAAGCGTTTACAAGCTGTGATACTTGTCAAAGGGTGCAGTACAAGATATTAACTCTGCAGGGTGCCCAAACTTTTGCAGACGCCATTTTTTTGTTTTCTGTTATTTTGAAAGTGTAAATGATGGAAATAAAATCTAACTTTTGTTGACATATTATAAGAATGTCTAATCTGTAATTTGATGCCTTTTGGAGATTTTTCCATCTTTCCTTGGCTTCTTTATGCACATTAATACACATTTTTAGCTGGGGTGCCCAAACTTTCGATCCCCACTGTATCTATCCTCAATTAATATAAAAAAATATCAAAATTATGTGCAAAACTATTTTTTAGTGCATAAGTAATTTAAATAATTAAATTTGTGAATATAAAAATTGTCCAATTTTGAATTTCTTCAAATGTCCAAACAAATCCTTTTCAAATTCAAGTGTTCTCAAAGAAATTGTGCCAAAATCCACCAAAGTAAAGTAACTCACCAGAGCTCCATGCTGATCAATCTCTAGATCAGCAAAAAACGCTTTTTGCTCTGGGAGCAGATGCAATAAATCAACTTCTAATAATTGATCATCACACCTGAGAAGTTGATTCATTGCATCTGCTCCCAGAGCAAAAAGCGTTTTTTGCTGATCTAGAGATTGATCAGCATGGAGCTCTGGTGAGTTACCCAACTTTACTTTGGTGGTGGAGTTTGGCACAATTTCTTTGAGAGCACTTGAATTTGAAAAGGATTTGTTTGGACATTTGAAGAAATTCAAAATTGGACAATTTTTATATTCACAAATTTAATTATTTAAATTACTTATGCACTAAAAAATAGTTTTGCACATAATTTTGATATTTTTTTATATTAATTGAGAATAGATATATATATATCTTTTGCACTAATGTTTCTACACTAAATTAGGAATAGTTTGTGGTTTTAGCGCATTCCTTTAAGTTAAATTGACTTGAAACGTTGCACAGCTCAAGTTCTCAACTTCCCAAACATGTCCTGGAAGTTTCATAGATTTTGGAATGCCACAAAGAAAATGTGGGACATTAAGCTTGTTGTTTGGGGAGCTTAATGTGGCTTAACATACAAAAAAGAGCTTAGATGTTTTCCAATTTCCCCCAAACTTCACAAAATAGAATACTCTATCTATGGCAACATATTCTGAAAATTTCAGATCATTTGGTAAATCACACCAAAAGTTATTCACGTTAAGCTATATTTTACAATGCTAAAACATTTAATGTGAACAGCTTAGTGTAAAAAGAGCTTAACGTACCATAATGTGCCTAAAACTCAATCAATTGACTTGAAACGTTGCACAGCCCAAGTTCTCAACATCCCAAACAAGTCCTAGAATTTTCATAGATTTTGGCCTGGAGGTAGACTGCACTAAGATTGAACACCATAATTTGAGTATTCATTTTTCAAGTAATACTGAAAATTTTGTAATCTGAGTTATGTTAGTAACCTTACTTTAATGTAATGAGCTAAACAAATGTTCTATAAAACTCAGTTTTTAAAAAGTTTGGAAATTGTTCTTGTGTTCATTGACATATTGATTACATAGTTACAGCAAAGCATGATTCAATTTGCTCCTGCAGGGGAAAAAATTCCTTCCTGATCCCCCGAGAGGCAATCGGATATTCCCTGGATCGACTTTACCTATAAATGTTAGTATCCAGTTATATTCTGTGTAGCCAAGAAACAATCCAGGCCTTTTTTATTGCAATCCACTAAGCTGGCCAGAACCAACTCTTGAGAGAGTCTATTCTACATTTTCACAGCTCTCACTGTGAAGAAACCTTGTCCTCTGTGATGATCTCAGGGTGAATAACTCTACACTGAGTTCACTATAGTAGATTAAAATCTTACTTTTCCAAAGGGGTGTACTCATTTATGCTGAGCACTGCGTGTATATATAATATAAATATAGTACATTCACATCAGTCCCTAACCCCCCAAGGAGCTATAATAGAATACTCACTTGCTCAGTGAATCCAGTGCTATCCAGATGTAATCTGCTGAAAGACTACACATACCAGGTCCGACGATGCCATCTTGTTTGTGATGTCATCAAGAGGTCGCTCTATCAGGTGGCCTCCTGATCAGGGGCGGACTGACCATTTGGAAATTTGGGCACTGCCCGAGGGCCCGGGGTCAGTAGGGGGCCCCATGAGATGCCCCTGGTACCTTTTTCATAGGCTTTTTTGAGTTTGGGCAAAGACACAGGGGCCCCATGATCCCCTATTGCCCGGGGGCCCCATGAGTTGTCAGTCCGCCCCTGCTCCTGATGATGCTGCACTGCTCATGTACGCACTGTACATAGAATGCACTAGTCTACATACCCCCAAAGACTTCTGATATGGGTGACATGGCTATCCCAAGAAGTTGTGGGCAGGGGGAAACATCATCCTGACCTAGGCGAGAAAGGTGGAAGTGCTGGCTGCTGCACTTCACCGAAAGTAGGTATCCCCCCAAAAAATGTGTTGCAATTTGTGCGGCCAGGGGACTGCCAAAGATGAAGTAAGGGACCATTCTGTTCAATACCATTGCGCAAAGCAGGTAAGTATAACATCTTTCTTATTTAAAAAAAATATATATCCTTTAATATTACTTTATGGTCTAGTTTATTTATTTTCACCCATGAAGTTTTTTTGAAATGTAAATAATATTTGGCCTTTGCTTACCATTCGATACAGAGTTAAAAGTTAGACTGGTGGCTGTGGTTGTACTTTTTGTTGTCCGGGATTGTGTCCTGTAGCTGCTTATTCTGATGCCCTCTAGTGCTTGACTCAGAGCTTGCAGTTGAGAGGTATTGAGCAGTGCACGCTGGGATTCTGTAACCATTGCTCCATTTTCAGGTCCTAGATTAGATATATGCTCTGCTGAGAGCTCCTTAAAAAACACAGGATGTATTAGCTCTTTGTTTCTATTTTCTGTGCAAGTATTAGTTTTCCTTAGATAAGAATTTGCTTTCACTATTCATGTACACTCTCCGGCCACTTTTTTAGGTACACCTTGCTAGTGCCAAGAAAATATCCCCCACACCAGTACACCACGATCACCAGCCTGAATGGATGCCACTGCAACATGCTAATGTGCAGGGGCGGACTGACAACTCATGGGGCCCCTGGGCAATAGGGGATCATGGGGCCCCTGTGTCCTTGCCCAAACTCAAAAAAGCCTATGAAAAAGGTACCAGGGGCATCTCAAGGGGCCCCCTACTGACACAGGGCCCCTGGGCAGTGCCCGAGTTTCCAAATGGTCAGTCCACCCCTGCTAATGTGTGTATGGTAGATTAAGGTAACATACACTCACCAGCCATTTTATTAATGCCAAGAAAATATCCACCATTACACCACCAGCCTGAACCATTGATATAAGGCAGGATGGATCCATGCTTTCATATGGTTTACTCAAAATTCTGACCCTTCCATCTGAATGTTGCAGCAACCAGTCTGCGCATTCTCCTTTGACCTCTGACATCAACAAGGCATTTTCATCCAAACAACTGCACTGGATATTTTCTCTTTTTCGGAACATTCTCTGTAAACCCTAGAGATTGTCGTGTGTGAAAATCTCAGTAGGTCAGCAGATTTTGAAATACTCAGACCAGCCCAACAATCATCCCACGTTCAAAGTCACTTAAATCCCCTTTCTTCCTTATTCTGATGCTCGGTTTGAACTTCAGCACGTTGTCTTCACCAAGTCCACATGCCTAAATGTATTGAGCTGCTATCATGTGATTAGCTGATTAGCAATTTGTGTTACCAAGCAATTGAACAGGTGTACCTAATAAAGTGGTTGGTGAGTGTATATTGCAATGCAATAATCAAACTTTTTTACATACTACAGCATGAGTAAAAGCTTGAAATTCTATCTACGGTCAATTTGAGTAGCCCAGTAAGCATGTTCCATGCCAGGGAATGGAGTGTCACCAGTGTCATAAAATATTTATACCAGTGTTCAATCAAAGGTGTTCTTTGTACTTACACAACAGACAAAACGGAACTGACCATGCTGTATAGCGCTTATAAAACCTTTTAATAAATCATGTTGATCTGGGCCTCCACCAAGGTAACAAGGACACATCTGCAGTTGCTTAACCCACTCTCAGTAGGCAGCTGGCAAAGGGTGAGATGGAACCATGGATGGAACCCTCTGGAGCAGATTCTAGCTTGGACCATGGAGGAGGTTACTGGAACTTGTCCCAAAACAACAGCTTTAAATTGGGACCAAAGCTGTATTCTGGGTATGAGAAGAATTCAAATACTTACATGTTTTGGGTCATGCACAGCCATCCAGAGCAGTGTGCTTACAGGAAGCACCAACACACCGCTCCCCAGTAAAACACTCCCAGCACACAGGTAACCCTTTGATTGCCTCTCATGTTAATCCCTTCCTGCCCAGTGCCATTAGTACAGTGTCAGTGCTTTTTTTTTTAGCACTGATCACTGTATTGGTGTCACTGGGGATGTCAGTGACACCAAGTCACTTCCCCCCAGTGTCAGAATGTCCACAGTCCCACTATAAGTCACTGATCACCGCCATAGTAAAAGAAAATCCAGTATATATACTGCCATTTTATGACAAAATTTGATTACATTTTTTTTTACTGGACATGTTTAATGTTTAGCAAAAAAGTCAAAAAATAGTTTTTTTTCTCCAAATTGTCGGTCTTTTTTTTTTTTTCTAGTGCAAAAAGCTCTATTTTTGTGGGAAAAAAGGACGTAAATTTAATTTTGTTGCAGGTTCCATGACCGCGTAATTGTCAGTTAAAGTAAAGCAGCGTTGTAACGCAAAAAATGGCCTGATCAGGAAGGGGGGGGGTAAATCCTCAGGAGGGCAAGTGGTTAATGCAGAAGAGACAAAACATGTCTCTTCTGCAATAAAAAATCCTGACTGTCTGCTCATTTTTTTTATTTTTTACCCTAAAGTTCCACTTTACAGAGTAACTCTAATTTTGCTGAGAAAAAAAAACCCATTATTTTCTGGATGATTAATGTACATTGCAGGGATTTTAACAAACTGTTGCAGATTTCTACCTTTTGTAATTCTGAAGAAATAGCTGTGTATCTGTGTCCCTGTGCAGAGTGACTCTGTATGGGCGTGTTTTTATAATTATCAGTCAGCTGTTGCACCTGTAGGGCTCTAATAAGGAAATTGTCAGGGTCTGCATCCCTTTTTAGATGTGCTTTCTCTTTGGGAATATCTCACCAAAAATGACATTTTTGTTGCGGGGGGTGCCAAAAATCTGACTTGTATCTTAGTGCAGTTCTTGGAAAATCAGTAAGCCAATCACACAAGCAGGAAATTACATTTTCACTGGGCGTTCTGTACACCCTTTTGGTAAAGAATGTCTCCAGGTAGCCATATTGCATTGCGTTTTACAGAAAATTACAGAGCTGAAGATTGAAAAGAAAATTTAATTTTTAATAATCAAAAAACATTATGACTTGAGTTGCAATTGTGTATGCTAATTTAATTTTATTTGATATTTTTATTCCCATGAAAGTGGAGCTATCCTTTACATAACATATTTAACACAACAAAATGGAAAAAAATAAGAAAGAGAATTTCATTGCCAGGGTTTACATACAACTTAAAAGAAAAAAATAATACTGGTTTGTTACCTTAAATGTCTGCTCTAGTATCATGGAAATGGCTGTAGGTTGGATATAAGGCATTAACCTTGGGTCTATGGCCTTGAAATCTTGTTCACTTAATGCAGCTTTAAAAAGTGAATAAAACAGATATAATCGTTAGCTGTCTTCAACAAAATGTGATCTACATCAGGGGCATCCCTAGGCAGGTGCGGGGGGTGCATGCCGCAACGGGTGACACCTACAGCATGGGGTGATACCGGACCCGCTCCACGAAAAGGTAAGTTGTAAAGCACGCTGACGATCCCCACAGGATGGATCGGATCTGCAAATTGGGGAGCACAATTGATCGGACTCTGATCCATTATGCTCAATCCGCAGATCTGATCCATCCTGCGGGGATCGTAGGCATGCAACCTATACGGGGTGATACCGGACCCACTCCACGAAAAAATAAGTTGTAAAGCACGCCGACGATCCCCACAGGATAGATCCGATCTGCGGATTGAGTCTGATCCATTATGCTGAATCCGCAGATCCGATCCATTCTGCGGGGATCGTCGGAGGGGGTGTCACCAAGTGTTATCGCACCGGGTGACACCAACCCTAGAGACGCCCCTGATTTACATATGCATATTTTAGCCCTGACTCAACAAAGTGTACTCTCATTTGTCGCAATAACAGCATATAACACTTACTGATCAAGAACCATTAAAGTATAACTTAAAGCAAAACTTTTTTTTTTTTTTCATTTTTGGATAAAGTGGAGAGGGATTAGAACGCAAGATTTTTTCTTTTGCTGGCTTTTCCCCCGTTTAATGTCCTGTTTACCATCATCACTGAACCTGAAAGTAAAGGAAAATCCCAAATTTTGGGTTGTCACCAGAACAGGAACAGAGGAGAATCTTCTAATGGGGACACTAGTTCTGGTAACCCTGGTGAAAACCAGGGATTCCGTCGCTTTGGAGAGTTTTCCTCTCATTTCCTGTTTTGGCTATGGGGCAGGAAAAGGGAAATATGCACAATGGTAAAAAAGCCTTCTGCTGTAAAAATCTGTTTTTTGAAGAATACTATATTAGCTAGAGGTAATACGCATATCATAGCCAACAAAATCACCTGCAATGAAGCCTATATCATTCAAAATAAAATGGCTCCATGTTTCCACTTTTCCATAGATCATCTCTGCCTGTTTTTTGAATGCTTGCAAAACGTTTGGTCTGCAAGGAAGAGATCCGAGCCTTGAAATAACAGATCTGGAAAAGAGGAGAGATCATACGATTTGTGTCACATATGAAATCAATCAAGGTTAAAGTGTTACTAAACGCAGGACCCTGCATTCACTATATCTGATCACCCACAGTACACACAACACGGAAATGCAATTATTTTAGTAACTATAAACTGCTAAATACCTTTTCTCATCAGCAGTTAGAGCAGTCTTGTGACTTCTATCATTGTCCAGCAGAGCACTGGTTAAAGCTTGTAGGAGGAGTTTTCATTCTGTTCTAGGAGGATGTAAAACCCCTGACCTGATTGGTACAAAAACCGGTCACGGTTCTGTTTTGTTGTTTGACATGCGTCGCTATTATGCTACATGCTGGGAGTCCAGGGCGCTCCTGTACCTTTAAGGAGGGGTGGGCTCCCTCAGGTCCATCTGCCCT